ACAAACACACATTTATCAAGAACAACAAAACAACTCTACCATTGTTATGAATTTTATGAAGGAAATGAAGGAAGTTCACAGTTTAGATATGAACTCTGAGTTCAAAATTCTTTCAATCTAAATGTACCACATTCTGCAAGCATGATATTTCCTATCATTCAACTAGTCTAAATATTGAGCATTGTTATTAATTTAAAGCAAGAACAAAATTGGACATATAACTAGCTCTAGTGCCATCTATTGACTGAACTAGATTGTGACACTGAACGGCAACCAAGTGTTTAAGGTTATAGTCCAGTGATGGCAAACCTTTTAGAGACCGAGTGCCCAAACTGCAACACAAAACCCACTTATGGATCGTCGGGTGCCGGGTGGGCATGGCCCATTGGGTGGGCATGGCCCATTGGGTGGGCGTGGCTGCAGTGCTAACAGCAGACTGGGTGGGACTAAAAAGTTCAATCAATCAATTCCAACTTTGCAAGATCTTTTTTTTTCCCTGAGAAGTTGAAATTGACTGATTGATTGAACCTTTGTTGTTGTTTTTTGCACACGGCGGCGGAGGCCTAAAGTGAAAAGGTTTTATAAAACCCAGCTGAAGGCCTAGGACTGGGGCAACGGCGCACGTGCCCACAGAGAGGGCTCTGAGTGCCGCCTCTGGCACCTGTGCCATAGGTTCGCCACCACTGTTATAGTCAATTATTACTACGTACAGTATATTGTGTGAGTTTTGATTCTCCATTGGGGATATTTCTAGGATAGATCAACCAATACTTTCTGGGGAAAGAATATTATTTTCTCATATCAACAGACATATTCAAACCCCACAAACTCCACAAGGGGGGAATTGTGAAAATGCCATAATTGGCAAAACTGATCTGTTTGGTCAGGGAGAAAATATACTTACTTTTTGAATAATTAGAAAGCTTTTAAGGATTTCATTGCTAAAAGAAGAAAAAAGGGAAATGATGATTTATGGATGCAACGATTCAAAAAGATATGAATTAAATAAGGGGTTGAAGGGATCTCTAGAATAGTTAAGAGGAGGGTAGTTTGTTAATATCTGTTAAAAAGAAGGTTGGAAGTTATTTAGTTCCTGTGTTCAAATTTTTTAATAGTTTATCAAAATATAAAATACAGAAATACAAAGAAAAATAAAGATAATGGGAAAATAACTCTTTTTTCCTTCTTTGCCTTCTCTCTCTTTTCTCCTTTTTTAATTTGTTCTTTTTCTTTATGAAAAAAACTGTAATAAAAATTACACACAGAGAGAGAAACAGACAGACAAAATCCAAACCATATAGGTTCCTCTTTCATATGATATATTAGGGATTAAATGCTTATCTCATCACCTCTAAAGAATACCTGCCCCTTGCGGAAATTATTTCCACCCATTGTATTCTTCAGTTTTCTGAAGAAGCTTCTTGGATGAGAAGCAAAACGCCTTTGTTAAGGAAAAAAAACAAGGTTCAGTTGCCTTTTGAAAAAGCACCTTTGAGACATCTAATGGTCAACTTTTCTGAGCTCACAAGTAGAGAGAATGTGTTGTACAGGCAGCAGTCACATTTGAAATGTGACAGAAAAATATTCAGCTGCTAAAATAAAATAATAATAAACATTCAAGTAACCTGCAGACGTTTTTCAAGGTATATAGCATTTTGTTTCACTAGATGGAAATCAGATATCAGAATGTCCATCCATCCTAACCCTGCATTAGGGATTAAGAACAGGCATTGCTGTTGCCAGGCTGAGAGACTTGGCCTTAGATTAGTGTAGCTTTGTTGCCTCTGATCACTGGATGTCAATCACTCCCCTTGGCCTTTAATCCATCTTCATCAACACATTTGCTTCCTTTAATCACCAAGGATGCATATTTGTTGAGACTGAATTGCATGCCTTTGTCTTCATTCGGTGCAAGAGCAGTGCTGAATAAATATCTAAGTTCTGCATTTGATTTTGCAATAATTTTGGGTCATAGATGCATAGATAATGAGTGCATTGTGGATTTTAATTTGAGAGGCGATTTGAGAGTGGCAACATTGCTTAAATCCTTATTAAAGGTGACATTACAGTATTCTTTTTCTAATTTTGACCTTGATGATCCCTTCATTATTAACTATGTCAGGCTTGTTTTCCATGCATTCATCAACAGTTAAGTAGTTTTGAAGGTTTTTACAAAGCCTTTCCCATAATCATGTCCTGATCCATCTATGAAGATGAGAAACAAATTCCTGTTTACAGTATATCTAAGCCAGTGGTGGCGAACCTATGGCACGCGTGCCAGAGGCGGCACTTAGAGCCCTCCCTGTGGGCACGTGCACCATGCCCTGGAGATGGCAACTATCCCTCTTCAACCAGCCGCCCACTAACTCACTGAAGTTCCACATGGTCGGATGCATCCCAGCATGGCTGGTTTCCCTCCCTCGCGTCCCATCCCTCCTGGCCTCGCATGCTCTCCTTTTCCCAGGCATGACCCACTGCATCGCCTCCTCAGCTGTCGGCCGGCCGGACAGCTCACAGGCGGCTTCTCTGAAATGCTGGCGGCAGACTGCGGAGCCCCAGAGTGCGCCGGTCGAGGGGCCCTCATGCGCTCGCTGGCCTCTGTGTGCGGGGGCCGATGGTGTCAGGCAGCAGCCGCCCTGGCCCCTGCCTCGCCTTGCCCTGCGACAATGGCACCCCCACCCTATCTCGCCTTGCCTCACCTCACCCCACAGGACGAGCCTCCTGCTCACCGCCCCACCTGCCAGAGACCCCTTGGATCTCCCCCAACCCTGCCCGGCCCCCACAGGCATCCTCCCCACGAGCAACATCGAGGTGATCATGCCCATCTTAGCCAGACCCAACCAGTCTGCCATGACCACAGCCATGCCCACCCAGTGGGCTACATCCACCTAGCACCTGGTGATAAGTAAGTGGGTTTGGGCACTCAGTCTCTAAAAGGTTCGCCATCACTGATCTAAGCCATTCTTGGAGTTTTTTTAAGGATCTTTTTTTGTGCTGTGTGGATTTGTGTTAAGTTCCTTTTAGTTCAATGAGGGAAAGTGAATCTAGTCAGTTTATTAATGGCATGGAGAAAAGTGTGGCAAAAAGAAATCACCTTGACTTTGAAACCTGTTCTAATGCAAAGCCTTTAAAGTCATAGAGAAGGAGATGGACATTTTAAATACTCAAAAATGTCAGCTGGATATCGGGTTATGTTCTCAAGAACATCTTACTGAGCCTGATGGAAAGGAGTTGCTGAATGCACAGTGAGAAGACTGCCTTCAAAAGTAGATCATAAAAATTTAGCAATTCAGCCTGTATAACAAAGGAGCATGCTGGATTTGGATATTGGAGATGAGCTGAGAAGGGAAGGTTTGTTTCAATAATAGAAAGATTTGGGGGCATTAGAATCCCATTTCAAGGTGGGTCTTCTTCTTGGTGAGATGAGCCAGTGTTGTGGTTGCTACTTCCCATTTTTTCTAATTTTCTGCAAAAACTGTTTTATGTCTGTCTGTGGGTTCCTGAGAATCACTGGTCTCCACCTTGCCAATTTCAATCTTTGCACATTGAGTCTTCAAGTTGAATACTCATGAGAAACCTGTCCTCCATTGATTTATTTACTCTCATAGGAAATTTTGTTTTCATGGAATTAAATCTACTCTCAAGAGAGCAGTTCCCAAGATGCTTTTCTTTGTTGGATGAAATTTGTAGCAACCTTTCTGAAATTTCTGATTTAAGTTCAATATGAAGCATATAATCAAACTTAAATCCTTTGTCCCTTCACCAGCAAGTAAAACTCTGAGCACCAGACATCCTGCCATGTCCTTGTCTGGTTGGAGCTACTTATCCTACACTGCTATGGAACATAAAGATTTCTTAACAAACCAAAATAGGATAATGTAATTTTAGAAGATAGATTTAGTAAGATTTACTAAGATCTGAAAAACGGTTTGAACTGTTGAGGATGGTTTCTTGAAAAATACAGACTTTATTAAAGGAATGACTCTTGTTGATTATTTTTTTAAAAGTAGGAGGTGAGTGGGGAGAAGATGAGAGAATCACCCTGGCTCAGTTTCCAATAGACTGTATGTGGCAGCTAGAATTTGCTGGGACTTTTGAAGAGTTTTGCAGAAAGAAATGATTCTGAAACATATATTTTCACAGACAAGAATGTGCATACAAAATGCTAACTAACAAAATACTAACTTTTTAAATAAACTCAGTATGATGTTGGTGGGGAGATGAATGGATGACAGATATCTAGCAAAAGTAAACACAGCAGGTAAGACTTAAACCAACTTACAGTATCTCTTTTAATAGGAATCCGATTTATTACAATCTAAATTATTGATCGAGAAATATATTGCATCATGATCAAATAGGAAACTTTGGATCAACTATTACTCTGGGAACTGTGCTCTAGATGGAACAGTTTAATGTGTCAACACTGCAGGAATTCATTCTGCTTGGCTTCAGAGTTGGACAACAAGGACGTCTGCTGCTTCTCATCTCATTCATAGTGATCTACATCTTCACTTTGGTTGAAAATCTGGTCATCATCTTGGTAGTATCTGAAGATGCTCAGTTGTCTCGTCTTCCCATGTACATTTTGTTGAGCAACTTTTCCTGGCTGGAGGTCTGTTATGTAAGTGCTACTGTGCCAAGGATGCTCTTTGACCTGTCCTTCCCAGGTGGGGTCATCTCTTTCCATGCCTGCTTCATCCAATTTTATGTCTTCTTCTCCCTTGGTACCACGGAATGCCTCTTCCTCTCAGCCATGGCCTTGGATCGGTACTTGGCCATCTGCTGTCCACTACGGTACACACAAATTATGTCTAAAAAGTTCTGTTTCCTCCTGGTGGCTTTTTGTTGGATTACTGGCTTTCTCTGCTACATTGCCCCTGCATCCTTGATCTCCAGGTTGTCCTTTTGTGGTCCCAACTTTATTGATCACTATATTTGTGACTCTGGAGGACTTCTAGCCCTAGCTTGTCATCCCCCAGAATCTCTCTCTCTTTTCTGCTATGTCATAACTTCTGCCTTAATTCTGGGCACTTTCCTTTTCATTATGATCTCCTATGTGGGAATTATTTTCACCCTGGCAAAAAAGTCTGGTGAAAACACTGGAAAAAAGGGCTTCCAAACGGTGTCTTCTCACCTAGCAGTGGTGACCATTTTTTACGGTTCTGTGGCCACAATGTACATTGGGCACACTGAGAAAAATCGTACTGAGAATATTAAAGTGATGACATTGTTCTACTCGGCTGTTGCCCCTTTGCTTAACCCCTTGATCTATTGTCTCAGGAATAATCAGGTGAAAGGTGCATTGTCTAGGGTTTTGAGAAAGAAGGGAGTTATATAGGGAAATAAAAGCAATGATACTCTTCAACTGTAGCCCCCACCAAAAAAGAAAAAAGAAAGAAAAAAGGATTTCTCTTCAACTATTGTTAAAATGGAGAAGCCTCAATCACATTTAAATTGTAAACTTATACTGGAAAAGATTTATGAGGCTAAAGAAGAAATATGTACTACAATACAGATTACACCTGATTATTCTACAAAACAGAATATACAAGAAGGGGACTTAACTGAGAATAAAGAGAAATTTATCTTGCCTTATAAGCAGTCCACGTATGGCTTCGAGGACCAGGAAAAGCAAAGACTGAGTTTTGAACTTTTGAAGCAACGAGGCTTTATGGATATGAGAAACAGAGGGCCAATGCAGAGCCCAAGATGGTTTTCATCGAATCAAATGACACTACAAGCAACAAAAAGATATTTATCAATTGGAAGGGAAGCTCTGCTATGGAAACCTGCCTGGCATAAGAGGAAGGCTAGAATAAGATTAAAAAGTGAAATTTAAAATTTCATGCATTGGATTAAAGGCAATTTAGAATTATGGATTGATTTAAGGATTAAGATTATGAGTTAGAAGTAAAGGGATGTTTTAGACTTGGATTGAATTAATAATTAATTGAATGTTAATCTAATAAGATGACTTGTTTGTTTGATAACATGGATGTTATTAGCTATGATAACTAACTGGATGAAATTTGAATTCTGCTCAATGGATTGAAATGATTTAAGGTCTGATATTATTCTGCCACTTTAAAGAGATTGATTAATTGATGGATTAGATATGTATAGGATAGATAGATAGATATACACATTTAGATATATATAGGATAGTTCAATATTTTTGCCTAAAAATGAGATATTTTTATATAATGGATTAAAGGTAATCTAGAATATTAAGAATGTATTTTTTAAAACGATAGGTTTATTTGTATGAAAATTATTATGTAATGGAATGAAGAAAATTGAAGAGATGTTTTAGATTTGGATTGAATTAATAATTAATTGAGTTAATTTAATAAGATGATGTGTTTGTTTGATGACATGGATGTTATTAGTTATGATAATTAACTGGATGAAATTTGAATTCTGTCTAATGGATTGAAATGATTTAAGGTCTGATATTATTCTGTCAGCTTAAAGAGATTGATTAATTGATGGATTAGATATGTATAGGATAGATTAATATTTTATTTTAAATAGGGGAGATTAGTGGAAGAAGAAATAAATAAGATTTATGATAAAATTAAGGAACTAGAACATATTTGGAAGGGATACCTGAATTGAGAATGTTTTTATTTAAAGTTAATTTGATTACGGTATTGTAAATTTATAAAGCTTTAAAACAGGTCCAGGTTGAATAAGTTTAAGATAGAATTGGATTATTTTAAATATACTATGGTATGTGAGGGAAAAAGAGAGGGAATACTTGATGTATTGATTGAACTATGTATATATGTTTTGTTCTGGGATGTTTGATTACCCCAGCACCACGGTGTGTCCTGAGTACTTCGTCTTAAGAATTAAAAAAACAATAAAATTTGTTCCAAAAAAAAAAAGCAATTGTAATGAATTATGTCAGGATCAAGTATTAGTCATACTTGTTAGGATAGATCAATAGCTGTGAAAGCGGGGAGGCCAAACTTCAACTGTGGGCAAAGAGGAATAACAAGATATTATACAAATTAATAGCAGGGAACCATTAAATTTTAATAGTAAGGTTGCCTTTAATGCCAAGAATACTTATTCTTACAGTTTTAATTGTAACAGTGGTATGAATACGAGTAATGCTTATTCTTGCAGTTATTTCCAGCTGTAATAATGAAGACCTAATATCAGAGCATTGAAACTGTACCAGAGCTTTTAATGCCCACAACATATTTCTAATTGACTGTTCTAGAAAAGTAGGACTATTCCATTGAGTGAGATATTATTGACACCAAATACATCAAATCTCAAGAAACAGAAAGGGTTTTTTAATATACATTACAGTTGTTAATTGATAAGGAACTTGTAATCTGTTTTGCATGTAACTTGTATCTGCATAACTAACCTGTCTGCTCCTCCTTTTTAATCCACTTCTTCCTCTCTACTTTTCCCCAGTTTAAGTTCTACTTCCGTCAAGCCACTTTGTTTTTAATAAAGTGAACTGCAGCAACATGAAAATATATCTTTTAATGAATTTTGTTATTTGGAAAAGATGCTTTGAAACTCCTGATATTTTTTGCCATAGGAAGCATGTGATTGTCATAGAAAGTTTAGTTCAGGATACAACCAGCAAGTTGGTCTGTATTTGGCAGACCTCAAATGGTATAAAGCCCCTTCCAGCCCTATAACTCTATGATCTGTAGATATTGTTTAGCTCTTCCTTGTTCAGTTCCATTGTTTCACCTGATGATAGTTTACTCTTGGGAGATTTCCAAAGTCTACTCTTGAACTCATGGGAATAAGGCAAGCCATCTGAACTTGAAGGAGACAGAGGCTTATGCATTTTGTTCTTTGACGAGTAAAAATGCAGAGGGGGAATACAGGTAATTCTTGACTTACAAACACAGTTAAGTCAAAAAATTATGTTGCTAAGTGAGACATTTGTTAAATGAGTTTTGCCCCATTTTACAACCTTTCTTGCCACAGTTGTTAAGTGAATCACTGGAGTTGTTAAGTTAGTAACATGGCTGTTAAGTGAATCTGGTTTCCCCATTGACTTTACTTGTTAGAAGGTTGATCAAATGACCCCAGGACATTGCAACCATCATAAATATGAGTCAGTTGCCGAGCATCTGAATTTTGATCACATGACCATGGGATTCTGCGATGGTCATAAGTATGAAAAACGGTCATAAGTCAGTTTTTCAGAGCTGTTGTAACATTGAACAGTCACTAAGTGAACTGTTGAAAGTGGAGGACTATCTGTTCTCATAAGAATCTCAGCGGTGAATTAGGAAAAATACTTGGATTTAATATAGGAATGGAAAGAACCTTGACTTATTAATTCCTGCATTGCCAGGAACTGGATATATATTATGCAAACATTTTTACTTCTCTTCTCTTTATTGCTGTTTCCTTGAAAGGAAATCAAGTCAGGATCACCTTGGGTTTGGAATAAATATTTTTTTGGGGAAATAAAGAGCACATGATGTTATGGATTAATGCAGCTAACGCAGAACCAGAAGAAAGCAGAATCCATGCAATGTGGGCGGAAAACATGCAGAACAATCCTCAGAAATATTGTTTTATGGGCAAACAGCATTTTCTTTTTGATAATCAACAGGCTGTGCAACCTGAAATGCTAGTGCATACAACGGGCATTTCCATGGTAGCGCACACACTCAGGAATACACCTGGAGTTTCCCTCTTGTAAACCTACAATAAAGTCCTTTGTGCTCTTTGCTTGATTGTCCTAAAGGTGTTTTCCCAAAAGACAACTGGACTTTCTTGGCTTTTTTTCCTTTGAAAACATTTCGCTTCTAAATAACAAAATCACAGTGGCAACATCATATAAAGAAAACGTGTATAATATGGTTTACAGATGGCATCTCCCTCCGGCCAGATTAGCCAAAATGTATAACGGATATTCATCTATGTGTTGGAAATGTAAAAAAGAAAAGGGCACCTTTTTCATGTTTGGTGGACATGTAGGAAAGCACAGGTGTATTGGCGTATGGTCTGGGAATGGGCAATAGAAATGACTAGGCAAAACATCCAATACACAAACCTGAGACATTACTATTAGGAATACTAGAGAAAAATGTAAATAAAGAGGACACATATTTGATTATCCATGGGGTTACAGCGGCAAGGATACTATTTGCTCAAAAGTGGAAAGCAATGGAAGCACCGAGTGGGGAAGCACTAATAAAGAAAATTATGTATTGCGCAGAACTAGATAGGATAACTAAAAGATTAAAAAATCAGGAAGAAACAGAATTTTATCGAATATGGAATAAATTTTATAGATGGAGGGGAAAAAAATGGAGGTCACAGTAAAGAGATAAGTTGAGATAGAGATCAGAAATGTATAGTTGTATATAAATATATTATATGTAATTAATGTACAATATAGACTGAGATGTCAGTCAAAGACGATTTACCATGTTCAATGTTTTTAATCCTTTTTTTTCTTTGTACTCAATAAAAACTTATATATAAAAAAAGAAAACATTTCGCTTCTCATCCAAGCAGCTTCTTCAGTTCTGAAGAACTGAATTGAACTGAAAAACTGAAGAAGTTTCTTGGAGGAGAAACGAAATGTTTTCAAAGAAAAAAACCCAAGAAAGTCCAGTTGCCTTTTAGAAAACGACCTTTGGGACAACCATGACCTGGATGATTGAGAATCTCCATAGATACTCTTTGCCTGATTGGTCCTGCAGGGAAAGGACCATGTCAGGCACTCAGAAGGAAATTGTCCTTCTTGAATTATGATGAAGTCATTGGGCAGAATCTTCGCAAGGGGAAAAGATGGCTTAAATCCTACTGAGTTATGAGAAGGGAATGTGTGCTGGAGCGCAGAGGCTCTGATGGTGGATATTGTGGAAGGATAGAAAAGGATGGAGTATATTATTTCTAAGCTTCTACTGCCAGCAATGCAGAGAGGTCACGTGACAAAACAACAAGATCTGACTTGAGTACAATACAGTACACTTTGATTTCAGTAGGTCTATTTGTGAGTGTGCCTCAGGCTCTGAGCAAAAATGCTGGGTTGGGAGCTACGGTATGTTAGGATTTTGCAAGGGATCCTGGAGGGACAGGAGATCTTGTGCTCAGGCTGTGTTAGATTTTGCAGGGGATCATGGAAGGAAAAGTAATTTAGAAAATCTTTAGAACAATATAGTTTTCCTGTGGGCAAAGGAAGGAAGGGCTCAAATGTTTTCTGCAACATATCTCTGAGTCAATGTTGGTGGAAGCCAGATGTGATTGCTCAAAAAATATGTCGATGAGAAATGCTTTTTAAATATGATATTGGTATATTAACGACTCAAGGAGAAAACCACATTACAGTAATTTGCC